TGANTCTTCCCTAATATAAATTTTAATTATTTTTTATATTAATGTTTTACCTATAACCAAAATAATATCATATTATGTTTTAAATTGTAACTTTTAATTAGTCTAAAATATTAATACATAAGTTATTTGATTATCATATTCCAAATATATTGAGTTCTCTTATAATTAACTTTGTATTAGATGCAGCTAAATTTTCTTTTTTTTAGCTATAAGATACAATTTAATTTTTAATTTTCATTAGTAAATTTCATTTAATCATNATTTTTCACCTCCATATTTCTAGCTAACATAGAAGAAAATCTATGAGTGGATCAATATATATATTAGATTTGTCTTNTTAATTGTTTGAACACATTATTTCTAAATATTGTAGTAATATTTTTACTGTCATTTTAGTTCTTACTTAATATTTTCAAAAACAACAAAAATCTCATCTCAAATTCAAATATTTCTTATCATTCTATTTTCTAAATTGGACAACATTTTCCAAAAATTATGCAATACATTCAAACTCAAACTAACTGCACTCGATTAAGATATTAATCATAAAAAAATATTTTCTTAATTTTTTGAACATATTATATCTAAATATTGTAGTAATATTTTCACTATCATTCTATTTCTTTACATAAATTTTCTTTCATTTTTAGTTTAAAGATACAAATTTATTTTTTGTAAAATTACCTATATTAGAAATTTATTTTGAATATTTAAAATTTTATTTTTATTTTTATCTTTTCATAAATAAGACTTCAATTTCGTGGTATTATCCATAATTTGAGCATTCGCATCATAGTTTTAAGAACATTCTAGTCTCAAATTTAAATAGTCTTTTCTTTTCATTTCTAATAATTTAAAATAATTTTGCTATTTTTTTAATCTAATATATAATCTTATTAAGTTTTATGTGGCTTTTCATTAACTTGTAACTTTATTTAATATCATTATCAACTACTTTTTTTTAATAGTATAAGATAAATATATAATTTTTTAGTTCTAAAATAAACATTTATTTTGTTTTAAAAATATTGTTCTAAAATTTTAAATTATTTAAAATTTAATAATGTTTTTAAGTATTCTAAAATATTTAATTTATTTTATTTTCTAAACTTATGATTTATAAATGTCCTTACATTATCTCTAATTTATTTTTATTATTCAATATTTTTAGTTTTTGATTTTACTATTAGACTTGAGTTATGTGGAATTTATATTATGACTTTTCTTATCATAATATATAAAACTTTCTCATCTCAAGTTTAAATAAGTTTTACCCTTTTTCCTATGATAAAAAATCTGAATTTTTATTTTTTTCTCTATTTATTCTTTAAGTTTGATTTTATATTATTCTATTCCTAATATTATTACATTGTCATGTGAATTTTTATTAGCCTGCTTGAATTTAATATCTATTTTTTTCACATTCATTCTAATATAATATAGATAAAAATTTAAAAACTTTCTCATCTCAAATTCAAATAATTTTTATCTTTCTATTTTCTTAATTGGACCATATTTTCAAAAAATTATGTTATGCTTTCAAACTTAAACTAACTGAACTCAATTCAAATATTAATCATAGAAAAATATTTTCTTAATTGTATGAACACATTATATCTAAATATTATTGTAATATTTACGTATAAGATATTTGTTTGCACGATTTATCAATATTAATATGAATTTATTATTCTTGTTATTAAAATATCTTTTACTGGTTATTTTTTTTCTTACCTTATAAATAATTTGTATACTTTATGCAAGTTCTTATTCTGCTGCTTGAATTTATTTAATTTTTAAACTCAATAAATATTTAATATCTTAAGTAAATTTTAGTTTTATATAAATAGTCAAAGGTTATCTCAATTTACGTCTTTATATATTTTTATTTTTTTTATTATAGTTTTTAATAAATTTTTCACATCCATATTTCTAGATAATATAGAAGAAAATCTATGAGTGGATCAATATATAGATATAGATACAAATATACATATAAATTTAAATATAGATATATAAATTAGATTTGTGTAAGATCTATTTAGATTATGCATAAGATTCATTAAATTACTTCCATTAATTATGTTTCTATATATAATTTTTAATTATTAATGTTGTCCTAAAATTGTCAAGTGGCTTTATTTTAGCTTGACACTTGGCTTAACCACAATACATACTACTCTCCTTTTAATATAATATAGATATAGATGCTTCACATTAGATAAAATTGTAATTTAATTAACTTTCCTAATATCTAGCACTTTAAAATCAACTAAAAATTTGACTATTAAATATTTTCTTATTGAACTAGGTAAAAAGTCCTAATATTTAGGACCTAACATTTAAGAATTTAAAACCAAATAAGATTATAGTTAAGTAAATTCTTTCCTTATTTACTTCATAATTAATTTGTCTTCGTTAGACTTCTTACGTCTATATTTGTTTTATATAAAATTTAGATTTGGTTTATATAAAGGTTGATACCCATTTAAATTCTATCATTAAATCTATATTTTCCTTATATAATTTTTTTAATTTAAATTTTTAATATTTTACGTCTTATTTTTTACTTTGGGGGAAATTATTCTTGCATCTCTTCAATTTTATATTCATAATATTAAAGTCCTATATTTTATATTATATATTTTTCATCAACTCCTTTTAAAAGTATAACTTTAAACATGAAAGTTTTTTCATAATATATTTAAATTCTAGAAAAAAAAGGTCTATAGCTTTTTCTAATTGTGCATAAAAATTTTTTACACCTGTACTGAGTTACCTGAACAAAAAGTATCCATATCCTTTTCTATTCTATTTAGTATTTAGTTAAAAACAAAATAAAAATATAGTATTATTCTATTGTATTCTTTCATTTATGTTATTCGTTATACGGACATGAATATATACAACAAGTTTTATTATCTTCTACTTCCATAAGTTGATTTGTATATCTTTATACTTATTTTGTTTAATGTGTCAGAAGCTATAAGCGATTATTAAAATAAATAGAAATTTATTTTTCATATGCTAGCTGGCATGAAGGACAAATGCACAGCTATGGACGAAAGGGTGACCTCATTTCACCTTACCAACCCCATGGAAACTCCGAATACATGCCTAGATCGTTTGTACAAACAGACTTTTTAGGTACTAAAAATCCAAGGTCGAAAGGAAAACAGCTCAGATTGTATGCTAAGGTCCCTAAGCAATCGCTTAGTGGAAAAGGAAGTGATCGAGCCATAACAACCAAGAGCTGATAAAATATAAAATTGTATTTTCCATAAAACTTGTTAAATATAAAAGATAACATATGATGCATTCCGATATAAAATCTAGATGCATGGTTATGAATGGGGAAAGAAAGCTCTCCAGAGAAAAGAAAGAGTAGATTAATGGATGCTATTTTGCGATAGTGATTTTTTTAAAATATGTTGTAAATAATTTCTACAATATTTTTTATTGATTAAGAAAAAAACAGTTTGAATAGACCTCTTATGTCACTTAACTTGTGTCTTCTAGAATAAACTTGAGAATATATAACTTTTCAATTTCTTTTAATTAACTCTTAAATCTCCAAAGGTTATATGTTCATATTGAAACTAAAAAAAAGAAGAAGTAAGATTGAAGTAATAAAATTATAAAACTTGGAAAAATATTAAGTTGAATATGGTAATTGAGATGCATGATTGAGAATCTCTATGGGTTAGAATTTCTTCTTTCTCGAGTAATTGACTAAATAATATCAACAATTATTATTCTCAGGAATTATTTTTTTGTAAATTTTTATTTTTATAACTCAAATATAATATTTACTATAACAAGCATATAATTCATTGAGATAGGTTACACGCGCAAAGCGCGTACTCTAAGACTAGTTTGGTAAATGGTATGAAAATGTATACTATGTTAGTCAAATTTTTTAAATCGATCGCATTAACAATATCTCAACATATCATATGATCTATTTGAACACATTTCCAAAACCATATACATACAAAAAATTAAGTATAAAAGAACCTAGATGCAAGTATGCGATGGAAAAGTGATAAATTGAGGTAAAAAATACATAGATTAATTAATTATTCTCAAGTGTTATATCTATTTTATAATAATATATGCATGTGCCGAGTGCAACAAATTCTTTTTCATAAATGATTATTATAGTTATTATTTTTACCGTGATTATACAGTGTTATTTTTCTCAAATATTACTAGGGTCGGGTAAACTCAGTAAAAAGAAGAAAAGTCCCCGATAAAGAAAAAAAAATAGATGAAAAAAGGGTAATCGAATTTAATACTCGCTTCCTCATTTGTTTTTTCCCAAATAAATGGAAAATATATTTTAGTGCACTTTCTTCCACATTTCATTGTACCTACTGAGGGAGAAATAGAATTGTTGAAGAAAATAAATGGAAACTTAATTTAGTACGCTTTATTCCACATCTCCTGTTACACACTTCTTCCATTTATTTTATGTAACACTATCTTTTTATTAATTCGATAAAAATAGCATATTTTTATATTTAAAATAATTTAATTTTAAACTTTATATATAACCGCAATGAGAATATTTCATGACATACAAATATTATGATATTTTAAATACCTTAAGTGTCAAAAATCTTATAACCATATAAATGTTATGATATATTTAATAAAAAAATTCTTTTTGTTTTGTTAAATTTCGTATTAAGTCAAATAACATCATATAAATTGGAAAAGAGAGTATAATAAAAGAAAATAGAATTTAGTACGCTTTATTTCACATTATAAGAAACAAAAAATAAGAGTTAGTACACTTTATTCCACATTTTATTCTACTTTATAATAAAAGAGCATTGGTGGACAAAGCTATTCTATTCCTATATTAGTAAGAGATAATTTGTACATTTGAAATTATTGGAGGTCAGCGCAAAGTAATTCTAAAACAAAAAAAGTAGACTTCTTTTTATACCTTATAATAAAGGGAAAATATACTTTCTTCCACTCCACACCCGGTCTTGTAGGTTCCCCCAGTCTTTAACTGCCATTCTGCCTTACTTCTAGTTCTCCTATAAAGTCTCTTCACACATCACTTTTGAAGGAGCCTACAGCCCTTCTCTCTCTCTCTCTCTCTCTACAAACTTTTGAAGGAGAAAGAAAGAGCGAGCAGCTCATCAAACAACAACCATGGCTTCCACCATCAAAAGAGTCCACATGATTACCCAAATTGTGAGGCTCAAACAAGTCGTCAAACGCTGGAAAAGCAACTCCCTTCGCCCTCGCTCCTCCGTCCTCTCTTACTCCTCCTCCGATTCAGACGAACCGGCTCAAGCCGGTTCAAATCGCCGTACACCTTCCGGTTCATTGGCAGTCTACGTGGGCCCGGAGCGTCGACGGTTCGTGATACCGACCCGGTTCTTGAATCTTCCGGTCTTTATCTCACTCCTCGACAAGGCGGAGGAGGAGTTCGGGTTTCAGCCCAGTGGCGGGTTGGTTTTGCCATGTGAAGTTGAGTTTTTTTCGGAAATCTTGAGGTTGCTTGAAATGGATGAGCAGAAATTCGGACATTATGGGTTGGATGAGATTGTAATGGCGATTTCAGAAGTGGGTTTTGAATCTTTAGATCAGTCTTGTAAAGAAGCGGCTTCTCATGGTTTTGCTCCTCTGCTTCAGAATGCTAGGGTTTGACCGGCCGGTTGTTCTAGCATTGTGGCGGCCGGTTCAGTTCTCGAGGAGGAAGATTTGGGTTTAGGGGGTTTTATTTTTTCCTTTGCCTAACTAACCTTGTTTGAATATTTCTAGGAAGTTTTTATTCTTGATTTTCAACCATCCATGAGCCCAGAAATTTGGTTTTATGATGTTTACTGGGTTCTTAAGAGATTTGGGTGATTTTTTTTTTTTTTTTTTTTTTTTTTTTTTTTTTTTTTTTTTTTTTTTTTTTTAGCTTCTAGTGCTTTTTTACCACCAGATTATGACATTGTTCTGGTGGTGTGACAAGCTGATGGTTATTATTGTTACTCCAATATTATGATGATGATGAAAATAGCAAAAATTAATGAAATATTCTACTAATTGACTTTGGAATTTTATAGAATCTTAATGCTAGTCCCCCTTATTTTCTTTGCTTTTTAGATCTGATTTTCTGATAGTTTTTCCATATTCATTCTGTTATTTAGGTTAGAATGCATTCCAAATTTTAGTTGATTATGGGAATCAATAATATTGCTGAGCTGTTTCAATTGAATGGTGCTCAATCAGATTCATAATCATATCGTTTCACCTAATTGTTAAATCAGTTAATGAGCATTTCCTTGTAAAAGAATCACTTATATATGTTTTAAATAATAGCTAATCATTGTTTAATAATATTATATTTTGGGTGGTATGCTGGGGTGGTTTCCAGGATTCTAGTATTTTTGCTCTAAACCAAAAAGGGAAAGGATATCAAATAATTATATTATGTTTAGCACACTTTCGTTATGATTTTACATAATGCTTAAGAAATTTTAGCTCCTCACCAAAAAAAAAAAAAAAAAAAAAGGTAAAAGGAAGAGTTTAATCTGTACTGGAGTTCATACTTCATACCTCTTGTTTGATAATGAACAAAAATCTTTTGTTACGATAATGAATAAAAGATGAATTGGATAAAATAGGTGTCATGCTCTTATCAAATTTTATCCTGACTCGTTCACGTTTACAAGCACTAGCCGAAATCTCCAACTTTTATCTCAAAAAGGAAATCATTAATGTACAAAAATAAAACTTATATTTTCAATAATTCCCCTCCCACTCTCCTAACAGTAATAAATTTTAAAATTTAAAAAATAAAACTTCTATCTTACCTCATTCGAGTTAAATAGCCTTCAAAATTTGATTTTCTTTCCTATAGAGGAGTAATTTATTGAAGCATTCATGTGAGAAAAAGAAATTTAGAGTATGACTTTAATTTTGGTTATGGACAATTCTATAAGTAGTCGCTAATAAATCAGAAAGGTACAATGTCTGTCGGACAAATATATACAAAGTAGCACTACCACGATTCACAATTAAATATTTACAAACACAAAAGTATAAGCAATATTTATTGTTCGAACCCCCTTCCATTACAATAGCAAAAATCGGAATCGATGATTCATATCATCTTTTTTTTTTTTAAATAAATTATTTCGTATTATATAATTCTTTTCTTTGTAAGATCCTTCTTAACGGGATAATGAGAAGAATTCTGAAATGTATCCGCCCTTGACTACCATTGAACTTTGAAGCACGTACATACAAATATATAACACTATAGCAAACTCATGTTTGCTGAATTGTTAGCCATCCAAAAAGGTATGGTTTAGCGAAGCATGGCATTAATATGAATTCAATTTTTGAAAGCTTAAAGATCTATCATGGATCCCATCTTTTGTATTAACTTCTTGTTTGTAACTGCATGGGATTTTGTTTCCTAGAAGGGCTAAAATGTTGTGATAGCTATAATATAAAAGGACAAAAAATGTCCCTAAATTATTCGATTTGGTTTATAAATAACCTTCTTTAACCTATTGTCTAGCATTGCCCTCAACATTTTCTTTTGGCTTAAAACTACAAGTCTTAAAATGGTAGCATTTTTAAGCAAAAAGAAAATGTTGAGGGCGACCAATAGATTAATGGAGCACATTTTTTATAAAATAAATAGAATAGGTTAAGAGTAACATTTTTGGTACTTTTCCGTTAATGTATGTCAAAGAGAGAATACATATTACTCCGTTAGTATAGCACAATTGTAACGGCCCGTTAGGTCGTTTTAAATACTAGCCTTAATTTCTGTCCTCTGAGACCTTTCATAGCTTCATTCAATGTGTATTGAGCTTCATTCAGTGTGTATTGAGCTTCATTCAATGTGTATTGATTTGCGTGTGTGGTCCGTGTCACTTTTCGGAAATCGTTTATGTGAAATTTTGAAAAAAATGTAATTTTTGAGTTAAAGTAAGGCTAGAGTTGACCACAGTCAACATTTTTGGTGAAAAACCTCCGATCAATATTGACGGTTCTAGTAGGTTCGTATGTGTCACGACCCAAATCCACTAGTCGTGATGTCACCTAACTCAACCCGCTAGGTAAGCCGACTATTAATTATCATGTTTCCAATAATATTAATAAGACAGTTAAACAAATGGAATTTGCTGAATCTTATACATTTTCCAAGGACTGGTAGTACAAATCATGAGCTCCTAAGAATAGAATTTACAAAGTTGATATGAAATAAATACATCTTTTGTTTTAAAAGTACATAAACGGAGTTTTATAAATCAAAGGCTACCACGAACAAGAGGCAGCTACAATAGGGACGCAGGTACATCTTCAAATCCAGTTCACATCGAACACAGCAACAACAACAACCAACATCTGCACGCAAGGTGCAGAAGTATAGTATGAGTACAACCGACCCTATGTACTCAATAAGTAACAAACATAACCTTAGGTTGAAAGTAGTGACGAGCTAGAACATAGGTCGGGTCCAACTCCAATAACCAACAGTAGTTCATAATAATGTAAAGCAAATAACAAAGAAGTAACTCAAAATTTAAAGTGCTCACCTTTTTCATAATTCCCGAAATAGTTCCGCTTTTCAAATATATCAGGGAAAACCCAAATCATTTACCGAAAATGTCGAAAATATGAGATAGTCTGAAAACTATAATTTTTCTAAAAAATAATCCTTTCCACAATAAATAAGATGTTTTAATTTTTTTCCAGATAGCAAGTGTAAAATATCTCTCTATGCTCATATACCAATTTGTGTGAGAAGTCATGAATGACGTGATACCGAACAACATGAGGAAAAATGCATCTCTATACCTGTATCTCATGTGTGCATGTCAATGCCATGTATCTCAGAGATGAATCATGTACTCACACTCTCAGAGTACTCAATCTCATTGTCTCACACTTTCTGCTCATCATGCCCAATCACTCAGTACCGTATATGGCCAATCCGGCCCAGGGAAGATCCATCCTAGAATATATACATCAACTGTGCAATAGTCACTCAGTTACTGAGTATGGACAATCCAGCTCGCGAAGAAGATCCATCTTCAGGTATATAATGCTTCGGAAAAGATTCATGTCCAAGGATGATCCATCTCTCAATATAATCAACCGCGCTCACTAGGGGTGTGTACAGACTTCGAAGGGGCTCCTACAACCCAAACGCTATCATAAAATCAGTATAACCGCTGCGGCGTACAACCCAATTCCATAACTGTCACTCATAATCAAGCTCTCAGCCTCACTAAGTCATCAATCTCTCCAGTCTCACTCACGGGCTCACAATGTCATAAAACTAGCCCGGCAACAATGATATGATGTATCAACAAATAACAACTAAGACTAAGATATAATATGAATGTATAAATATGACTGAATACGAAATATCAATGAAATCAGTAAGATGACGGCAAGAAACGACCACTATGGGTCCTAACAATATTGACATAAAGCCTAAACATGATATCTAGCATGACTGATAGCTCAATTACTTTATCACATGGTGAAAACACAGATATCAACAAAATAGGACCACTATACAGTACCATGAAAATAATGGAGTCACAATTCACAGGGTGCACACCCACACACCTATCACCTAGCATGTTCATCACCTCAATACCAATCACACAACACGTAATTTGGAGTTTCATACCCTCAGCACTAAGTTTAGAAATGTTACTTAGCTCGAACAAGCCAATACCAATACCGAGCAAGCCATACAATACTCCAAAGATACTATCACGTGCATAGCGACCTCCGAACGGCTCAAAACTAGCCAAAAGCAACTCAAATACATCAATAAAGCCCTAGAAAATAATTCCAAATGATAAAAAATCGAATCCTTAATCAAAATCCAAAATCGGCCAAAAAGGCCAACCCAGGCCCGCACCTCGAAACCCGATAAAATTTACAAAATCCGATAATTCATTCAATTACGAGTCCAACCATACTAGTTGCACTCAATTCCGGCTCCAAATCGATGTTCAAAACTCAAAAATTCATATTACGAAACTTTAGGCCAAAACCCCCAATTTTCTCTTTAAAATTCACAATCCAATTACCAAAAACGAAGATAGATTTATGAAATATAATCAAAAAAGAGTAGAGAATACTTACCCCAATTCATATGGTGAAAATTACTTCAATAATCACTTCAATCCGAGCACCATGTCTTCAAAAATGTAAAATTGGCTGAAACTCTTGAAATAGAGTACTTTATAATCTGCCTAGGCATTTCTCTTATGCAAACGCGGGAAAACCATCGCGTTCCCAATGAACAAAATGAATCTGCCACCAAATACTCTACGCGTTCGCAGCAAAGTCCTCACGAACGTGATTTACAATAGTTCCTCCTTACGCGATCGCTTAAGCTACTTCACGAACGCGAAGGTATACTCCTCAGTCCCAGTTTCTCATCTCTGCCCTACGTGAACGCATATATAAGGGGGCGAACATGATGCCCAAACCTTATAAAGGCTTGCGAACGTGATGCCACTGACGCTAATGCAATGAAGGAAAAATGCCAACTCCTCTGACATATTACGCGATCGCATGCCTGTCTTCGCGATCGCGAAGAAGGTTTGAAACACCAGCAAACAGCAGCTACCAGTAGTGAAAACATGAAGGAAAATGATCCTAAATCAATTCAAATCACGCCCGATCCCCTCACCCGTCTAAACATACCAACAAGTCCAATAACATAATATGGACCTACTCGAGGCCTCAAAACACACATAACAACATCGAAACGACGAATCATACCTCAATTCGAAATCAATGAACTTTGAAACTTTAAACTTCCACAACTGACGCCAAAATCTATAAAATCACGTCCGATTGACATCAAATTTAGTACACAAGTCACATTTGAAATTACGGACCTGCTCCAACTTCCGGAATCTGGATCCGACCCGAATGTCAAAAAATTCACTCCCGGTCAAACTTTCCAAAATTTCGACTTTGGTAATTTCAAGCCAAATTCTGCTACGGACCTCTAAATCACAATCCGGACGCGCTCCTAAGTAGAAA